ATACTACCGAACGGCTCGTGCACTTGCGAGTATCACAAGTTGAGGATGCAACTGAATCCATTTTGGTGCAGCTGTATCTACGCAACACTATATTTTGATAGACTTTGTGTGTATGTTTATAAAGCCTTTTTCTTTGATTCATTTGATAATTAAAAGCTGTTTCAAATAGGAACATATAAAAGCCTTTTTGTAACCAGGACCTGAATTCCATTAACCTTTTCATGTGGGTGTAGGGGCTTTTTCGTTCCGGCAGCCACAAATGGGCTGGGCTACCGTAAAGAGCAAAATGGATGAAACAGCCCCTGTGTCTGAGTTCAAAGATCAGACCCCAAGAATGCTTCAAAAGGATATTGAAGCCTTAGGAAACACCCTGGTTACCTTCACCAACAAAAACAATGGCTGCTTCAAGTAGATTCTTAGCTTGGCATAAGAAGCTTATGGCATGGGAGCAAAACCATCATGAGTTTAGCGTAAACAGAGAGAGGGCTATGAATTCCTATGAGAAACAAAGGTTTTAAGACAAGGGGGAATGGATTCTAAGAGGGTTTGTTGAAGAGAGAGAGAGAGATGGGGAATAATGGGTGTGTTGAGTAGTTTCCGGCAGCTCGACGAGAGCTCTGTCAAACTTTGGAACAGTCTAACAGGAGAGAAAATGGGAGGAGATGAATGAATAGGGCACAAAATTGCAGAGCTTCAAGGAAGAGAGATAGTGCTTGCTCTTTTTGAGGGGTAGAAGATGGCTCCTTTTATAGCCGCTGGAAGCTGGCCTTTCCCAAGAAACCCTAATGGTTTCTACCCAATTTTGGCCAAGCTTTTTCCTTCCTTTCTCCTCCTATCTTATTTTGGCAAAATCTTCTCTGTCCAATCCCACAAAATCAGGGATTTTTAGGAGCTCAATGCTCTTCCCGCGGCTGCCACAGTGAAGAACTTTTTATTTCCAGCCATTTCCCTTCCTTATTTTCTTCCTTCTTCCATGGCCAGATCGGGTAAAGGAAGGAGATAAGTAACTTTGGCTAGTCTGAAGGGTGTTTTGCTCAAGTATCCTTTGGTTTTTTGGATGGCTTGTGTTGGGATTTGTCTTTGGCCATGTGCTGGAGGCTCCCAACAGCTTGCATACATGGACAACTTTGGTCTCTGTTGTTGTTTTTGTATCCAGCCATGTGCTGGAGGCTTGTAGATATTTTCTTGGTTTGCTTGGGCTTTCTTAAGGTGATGGGTAAGCCTACTAAGGGAACGGGCTAATTTGATAGGCTATTTTATTGAGATGATGAGCTAATTTTTCATAAAGTATTGGGCTATCTCTTCTAGAGTATTGGGCTTTTTTCTCTCCTTTATGCTTACCCACATATTTGGGCTCAAGAAAACGGGCTTGAGTTTTGGGGCTCCCAAGCTGCCCAAAACTTCCGTTTCTTGGCTCATCAATGGGCCTTATGAAAATTCGTTACCATCCATGCCACAACCCACTCAGCAAGCCCCTGGCATTTGTGTGGCTTGGGCCCACTTAAGCTTGTAGAGTTGTTGGGTGTGAAATAATGATTTCCTGCTCGGCATGGCATGTCGATTGGTGTGCTTTAATCTTATCGTCTTTGAAAAGGGATATGATGCTTGACTGGATAATTAGCTTGGGCTCGTAGAGCCAGTGCATTTTATAGGCTATAGCGTGACAGATTGCATATTTATTTGGCATGGCACGTGGTCGTGGCCCGTGCAAGCGTGCATGACAATTTTCGTGTGCTCCGAACTGGGTCTTTTCTTAATGAGGTGTCGCACTGGGCCATGAATTTATTTGGGCCCAACCTTGGATTTTTTGGCCCTCAACAGTGGGATACAAACAAGAACCTCCTGTATTAATTTCAAAACAGTGTTATTCTACCCTAGAATAGTTTTCAGAGTGGCCTCTGGGTTCTGTTAGTTTGAAGACCAGTGTCTTCATTATTTTGTTCTTAAATTTCCATGTATGCATCATCTATATGGTTTCTTTCATTGACTAGTCGGACGTGAGGTTTTGGCATCATCACTGTATTAGCATATAAAAAACAATAATAATAAAAAGAATCTTTTGTTAAAATTTGACTGAGCTTTGTTATTGGGTATGTAAGCCATAAGGCATAAGGCATAATTTTAGTTATTTTGGTTTGTAAGTCATAAGGCATGAGTTTTAACCATTTGGATTTGATGAATCTGTTGAATCTGTTGATGAATATTAATTTGGTTGATTTGGATATTGAATATGTTGATTAGGATTTGGATATTGAGTATGTTGAATCTTTGAATCTGTAACTTAGGCATCACTTATTTTGGTGAGTGAATATGTTGAATATTGAATTGGTTCACTTTTTAGTTGTGTCATTTTGGTACCGAAATGGTACCTATACTGATTTGGCACGGTATGGTACGGTACCAAATTCGGCAAATGATAATCCCATATCATACCATACTGGTTTTAATTTCCAGTATTTGTAGCAGTACGAGCTCAATACGGTACCGTACCATACCATGCCCACCCATAGGGGTGGGCACGGTTTGGTTTGGACCGATTTTTGCCTCAAATTAGAACCGATCCGATACTATTCATTCGATTTGGTTCGGTTCAATTTTAATATAAAAAATTTCAAAAACCATCCGGTTTGGTTCCGGTCTGGTTCGATTTTGAACCGGATTATAAAAATTATTTTTATGATATTATTTTTTTAATACAATTTTCAAGTGAATTTTTTTTTTTTAAACTTGAAAGTTAACAAATTATTCAACCTCATATAAAAATAAATATTAAAACTAGAAAAGAGAGATATTTTGAAATTGAACTTTGATAAATATTAGTTATGAAATTAAAAATATAGCCTTGAATATAAATAAATATTGAAATTATATTTTTTTAAATTTTACCAATTCGGTTCGGCCCGGTTTGATTTTTGAAGGCATAGAATCGGAACCAAAAAGGTCCAATCTGGTTCAGTTTGGTTTTTGACTGATTGTTGACTTTTTGGTCAACTCTATTTTTTTCCGATTTGGTTCAGTGCAATTCGGCTCGAATTTCCAGTTCGCCAGTTTCAATGACCACCCCTACCCACCCCTAGTAATACTAGGCTAGTATTTATAGGAAGAGAGTGAGGCATGGGTTGGTGAAGGCAAGAACTTGGGGGCTGCATCTACTTTTCACTTTTGGCCGTGGATCCCTTGGCCAGCTGGCTCCGGATTTGTTAATTCTTAATGGCTTTAGTGGTTGCTAACCAGCGTACTTCTAGAGATAATTGACACATCAGGAACCTTATCCTCGGCCTAGGACTATTCATGGCTGAGGTTGACTTCAAAGCTCTCGTCCTAATTGGAGGACGTCAGGAAATTTAGACAGATGTCAGAATGAGCATCCTTTGTCGTTTATTGCTAGTGGCGAATTACTATAGCTCCACTGACGAATCCCAACACATACACCTTGTCCTCATGCGGATAGTCTTCTCTTTTTCAAGAAATCATGTTATGATTTTCTCCTAGACTGCGTTTGGTTCATGGGAAAGGAATCTTGGGCATGGAAAATCAATTCATTTCCCATGTTTGGTAAGCCAGGCATAGAAAAGCGATTCCTAGCACATGGGAAAGTAGGAGGGAAAGTGAATCCTTCCTTCCTCCTTGGGTTTCACTTTCCCTTCCCATGGGAAAGTAAAACTAGCATTAAATACACTTTTTCTGACTAATTTGTCCTTACTAACAATTCATAATTACAGCTTTTATCCGACAAGTATTGGTATATATATTTTTTTTTAATACATATTTCTTAAAATCCCAGCATCGTTCTATTTTCCCAGATATTTCTCAGCAACTCTGTTTACACAAGGAAGCCAGAATTTCAACCTCACCTAGGTTTTCACATTCTCATCCGCAGAGCAGTTTCAAACAAGGTGGATTTTTCTTCGCAGGTTTTCACGTTCTACTTCCCCAAGTTTTCACGTTCTAGTTCCATGTTTATTTTTCTTCTTTCCTTTTTCCCCACCTGAGCACCCAAATTTTCATTATATTAATTGACTTGAGTTTTGGGTTTAATAGTTGGATTATTTGATGTCCTTCTACGTTTTCTTATTCTTTTTCTGGGTTTAATATGTATTTTGCTCTAATATGTAGTCTGAAATTTTGGTGTAGGTAAGACAATACGTTGATAGAGGAATTTTTCTTTATTTGGTGTCTGTGGGTGGTGGATTATGATGCCAATTACCCAAATCACACTAATAAACTATGCTTAATTATGGATTGATGTTTTTACATTAGTTTTGTTATTTAGGTTTCTTATTAATTGATGGTCTTCTTTTCTTGCTATAATTGATTATGTTATAATTGGTTATTTTATTAATGATATATTATGCAGTTATGGTGCGTATAAAATTGTCAAAGAGGAAAAGGACTCTTCTAATGTTGGACTCTATTAGGTGTTTGTCTAATATCATGATAATATTCTACATTATAATGTATATCATTATGGAAAGACATTATAGAAAGCATCTCTTGAGATCAAGACCTAGAAATAATGATTTTCAGAGATTTGGAAATATGAATCGCATGATATATGAGACTGATAGAAGATGTGTAGACGAACTCCGCATGGATTTACATACATTCTCCAAGTTATGCTCTATGCTAAGAGCCACTGGTAGACTCCATGATACAAGAAATGTTTCTGTAGATGAAATGGTAGCTGTCTTTTTGAATGTATTGGCACATCACAAGAAGAACAGAGTCATACAAAATGATTTTTACCGTTCTGGGGAAACCATTAGTAGATATTTTAATGCAGTTTTAGGGTCAGTTTTATGTCTACAAAATGAGTTGTTACCGGTGCATGAGAACTCTACAGATGAGAGGTGGAAATGGTTTAAGGTAAATCATGAATATGCCAAAAGTCTTTATTCTTATATGAAAAATAAGAAATAAAGTTTGCTTATAAATTGTTTAATCTGTTTAATCTTGTAGAATTGTCTTGGAGCGCTAGATGGGACATATATTAGATTACATGTACCAGAAGCTGACAAGCCTAGGTACCGAACTAGGAAGAATGAGATTGCTACAAATGTCTTGGGAGTATGCTCCCAAGATATGCAATTCATATATGTATTACCTGGTTGGGAGGGTTCTGCTGCAGATTCTCGAATACTTCGTGATGCAATTAGTAGAAGACATGGGTTAAGGGTCCCTCATGGTAAGAGATGATTGAGTGAATTAACTAAATTATTAAAGTTCTTGGTATTTAATATTTGTTTATATTTTTATCAACAATAATAGTTACAATTATAATTTTATTCAACATGAAATTATTACCTTGTTGATGCTGGATATCCAAATGGAGAAGGATTTCTTGCCCCGTACAGAGGGCAACGATATCATTTAAATGATTGGAGAGATGGATATCAACCTACCACTCCTAAAGAATTTTTTAACATGAAGCATTCTTCGGCTAGGAATGTAATAGAGAGGTGTTTTGGATTACTTAAGTCACGTTGGGCAATACTGAGGAGTCCTTCATTTTTTCCAGTGAAGACACAATGCCGGATTATCATAGCTTGTTGTCTTCTTCACAACCTTATAAGAAGAGAAATGACTATTGATCCCGAAGAAAATGAGTTGAACGAAAATATCTACAACCAAGAAGAAGATGATGTTATCACTAGCATTGACTCATCGGAAGAATGGGCTGTTTGGAGGGCAAACTTAGCCAATAATATGTTCAATGAATGGAGAGAAAATAGGAACCCAAGATGAGCAATTGAAATGGAGAAGAACCTTTTCTAGGTCGATTTTGGAATGGGGATAAGGGCTTTAGGTTGGTTGAATGTTATATCTTGAAAATTAGATTTTGATGGATATGTGCAGACATTAAACTTTGGAATGTTGAATGTTATATCTTACAAGATTATGTGTAAGATGTGAATTGTGTGATGTGCTTGCAAGCTGTGTGATCATGTATTTGTCATATTGATTTCCCAACGTTCATTCAAGTTTTTTTCTTTTTCTTTTTTGGCTTGTTCAGTTATTGCACCCTTTCTACATACTTCTATATCAATGAGCTCTTCTAGAAATCTTCTATAGAACTTGTTTACAACATAAGACTTTGTTTGTTAGTTGTACGTTAATTTTACATGTTTATGTTCAAATTTTTCTTGTGTATATAGGATGGATTTGGGTATGAACTCAACACCTACTACTGCTGGAAGGAATAAAAAGGATAAGCACGTTTGGACCCCTATTGAAGATGCATCTCTAGTTGAGGCTTTAAATGAATTATGTGTTGGTGGCTATTGGAAGGTTGACAATGGGTTTAGATCTGGATATTTGGGACAATTAGAAAAGGCTATGGAACAGAAGTTACCTGGATGTGGATTAAAAGCAGTTCCTCACATTGAGTCTCGAGTGAAGACATTGAAGAAACAAACACTAGCCATCTCTGACATGCTCACCAACTCAAGTGGTTTTGCATGGAATGATGAAGAAAAAATGGTGGTATGCGAGAAACAAGTCTTTGATGATTGGGTTAAGGTAAGCCAAACTGTATTCAGAATTGTCATCATCAATTATTATTATTATTATTATTATTATACATATATTTTGGCATCTAATTTCATGAAAAAAAAATTAGGTCCATAATTCTGCAAAAGGATTAAGAAACAAACCATTTCCTCATTATGATACTCTAGTGGAAGTTTTTGGGAAAGATCGAGCAAATGGCAAAGGAGCTGAAGGTCCTGCTGAAGTGATTGAAGATCTTACTGATAATAGTACTTTTAACTTTGAAGGAGATGGCCTAGATGACATCAATTTTTCTTCCCCTACTACCCAAACCCCTATATGCCCTCCTTCAACTCGTCCCAATAAACGGGCACGAAATGACAATTGGTCGCAAAGTATGGCAGATATGGCTAGTACACTTCGATCTTTTGTGGATGTGACCAAGACTCATTTGGAGACTGTGAAATGTGTTCTAATGAGTGAGAATGCAACATCAGAGCGAAGAGGCAAAATTGTTGATGAGCTTCAGAAAATTCAAGGTTTGAGTGATATGGATGTCATTGATGCTGCTGCTGCAATTATCAGTGATGATGCAAAAATTGACCTCTTGTTCACTTTACCAGATAATTTAAAGATACAATGGGTTAAGAAACTTCTTCACCAGTATTAGAAAATGGTTTTCAGTTCTGCAATTTGAATGAATCTCATGTTAGAAACTATCTTTTTGAAATGCTTTAGTGCAATATTTGGAATGTAGGTGATACAAAGGCTTGTTTTTAGAATTTTGATGGTGCTATAGTTGGTTTTGTTTTTTGAATCATGTGATTGTGGTTTAGTTGCATATGGATTTTGAAAAACAGTTTCATGAAATGCATATGCAGTTTGAGAAATTGCTTTGTGATTAATTCATATTTGCTGTTAAAATGTTGATGATGTTGTCATTGGTTTTGTATATTCGGACTATCAATAGGACATTGGTGCAATGTTTAATAATTAAATTGGAAAGTTTAATAAAATTAACAGATTTTTCATATTTTTAATAGGGGTACAATTGGGAAACTAAACAAAATTTGTTTTCCATTCCTACTCAAAACAAACATGGGAAAGGAAATAAAGTGATATTTCCGGATCACTTTCCCGGCATTACCAAACATGGGAAAGGAATCAACATTTCCCATTCCTTGGGAAATGACATGGGAAATGATTTCCCATCAAATTCATTCCGTGAACCAAACGGGGCCTTAGTGCGCTGCTTTTCAGAATCCCCACTCCAAGTTTTCATCATTGTGTCACCCAGTGGCGGTTCTACAGCCAGGGCAGGGTAGGCAGCTGCCTACCCCAATTTTTTTCACTTAAAAAAAAACCTATATATAAACAAGGTTATTTCTAGCCATCACATGTGATAGTGTAAACCTTTGCTTACCTAGCCCATGTAAAACTACCCACATGTGTTATAGCCCACTCAAACTTATTATTAAAAAAAAAGGGAAACGATTATAACCAGCCCACTGTTATGGGATGGCCCAGTCAAACTTTAAAAAAAGGGGGAACACAACTTATAAGCAGCCAAATAGCTTTTGACTGTGCAATTCCAGACAGTTTCGTTGAAGTTTTTGATAATTTCCTCTGAAAAGCAATTCACTGGTACCGTCGAGTTTTAAAGGTAAATTTCGCCTACTTGATTTTTGAATCCTGGATCCGCCACTGGTGTCACCTTTTGTGTTCTCCAAGATTGTGGCCACGTCATGTCGTTATCTCTTAGCTGAAAAATTGACTGCGAGTTGGACTGTGACCGAGCTCATTGGTTGAAGATTCGGCCCTGGCTAATTTTGACCTCAAAACCTGTCTTGGTAGGTCAGGCTCGTCCGTTAAGCTAAGCTTCTCTGCTGGGGTCAAGCTTGTCTGTTGGGTCTGAGCTTGAGCCAAGATTCTAGCCTCTAGGCTCTAGGTACGTCATCAACCCTCATTAGGCTAAGGGTCGAAAATTCCATGTGTAGACACTTGGATGGCTTGCATTGACCTACCTTGTGATGTAAGAGGCACTAGCCCAGCCATGAACTTTTATTTTACAAAAATATTGTTTGAGTAAGAGTACAAACGTTTTTACCATGCATGTAAAACATTGGACATATATTATCATTGCCGTACCTACAATTGGTAGGTTTATTTATAAGTTATTATGGGTTGAGAATGTATTGTAACTTAATCAAATTGATAAAACTCTCGTCCTTAATAATGAGGTTGAGAGGACTTAAATAGGTTATGCAAGAACCCCACATATCATCAAGCCAATGGCACTGTTCTTGGATTGAATTTAGGGACATTTCGGAAAAAATCAAAGGAGAGAGAAATATTTTTAAAAGAAACAGAAATGGACAAAAATGTTCTTATTTATTTTTGGATTTCCTAAAGAATCCTTTACATTTGCATGTTTTTAGTTTGAAAATTGAGAGATTTTTTTGTGTGGCTAAAACCTAAATTTACTTTGAATTTAACAGATAGGACCCCACCAATGGTGGATAATGAACTTCTCAGATGCAGAAGGAAAATGGAAAAATGCTTGTGGAATTAGTATTACAAGTGCGTTGACTGACTTTCTTACATTGATGGAACATTTGGAACTTTCCCACTGTAGACTTGTTAAATGCAGATGGAAAATGGACAAATGCATGTGGAATTAGTATTACAAGTCTGTTGACTTACTTTCTGACATTGATGGAACATTTAAACATGCAGATGGAAAATGGACAAATGCATGTGGAAATGCATGTGGAATTAGTATTACAAGTTCGTTGACTGACTTTCTGACATTGATGGAACATTTGAACTTTCCCACTCAACACTTGTTAGATGCAGATGGAAAATGGACAAATGCATGTGGAATTAGTATTTCAAGTCCGTTGACTGACTTTCTTACATCGATGGAGCATTTTTTTTTTTTTGGTGAAAAGATGGAGCATTTGAACTTTACCACTAAAGACTTCAGGAGTAAACTCCAAGTTTTTCTTCCCAATGAAAGTAGACATGGCATTCGTGTCGTGTTATCAGTGTTCGTATTGTGTTCGTGTCAACTCGTTTTTTCTTTTTATGGGTTGACACGACATGACACGATAAGAAAATGAGTGGAAAATATCAAACACGAACACGACCTGCTTCAATTCATGAATCATACGACACGACCCGTTTCACCCGTTAAAAAAATAAACTTTTTAATAAAAATTTAAAAAACCTATATTTTTGAACAAATTTTAAATGCAAACAATACATCCCAGAAAATACATGTCCCAAAAATCAAAATCATTCCAACGAAAGCTAATATTCTTGAATTTAATTCAAACTTCAACATCCGTGAACATGATAACAAAAGGAAAGGCAAAACAAATATGAAGTAACATCCATGAAGATGATCCAAACTTCAACATTTCACCAATTGCAATTTTCCTGAAGAAAAAAAAACAACTATGAGAAAAGTATGCAATTATTGATAAATATTATATTGATAAAATATCAATTACTCATCAATACCTCTCATCAATCTTCAAGAGAAATATTATTGGAGCTTTGTCCTGATCTAGTATCTTGACAAGTAAGTTTGAAGATATCTTCAATAAGGCTTTCCACAGCAGCACTCTCTTCCTCCGTAGCTAAGCATTGGAAACCCAAAAGTTACAAAACATTCACATAATGAAGAAAATAAAACACTAGTTTTAAGTTATATAACATTTACCTCCCTTGCCACAAAGCCAATCTCAAGCACACAACAAAGCTTGAACAATTTCAGGCAATAATAAACTACAGTATTGATCTAGTACTTTACCACGAATACTAAAAGCGGATTCCGATGCAACCGTAGAAATAGGAATTGTTAACACATCACGAGCTAAATTTGAAAGTATCAGATAATGAAAATGCTCCATTTGCCACCAAGAAAGAACATCTATGTCTTGCTTTCTATCTAGTCTTTCTTCATCCAAATACTTATGCAATTCATTTTTCCTACTTGTACTTGGACCATTTTTGTAACTATTGTCAAAATCCTCCATCATACAAAATGAAACATGCAAATATTAGAATTATGCATCATTGTGATATATGATATGCAACAATAAATATAAAAAAGAAAATAAGTTTAGGCTACCTCAAAAATGGTGTCTCCATCTTCCATGTGACTAGCCGTCTCATTCATTCCATAATTTGAAGTAACAAGATGAGATAAATTTTCCGAGTACACATCAAAAAGAGATGTCAAAGTGTCTCTAACATACTTGAACTCTTTAAAATCCTTACCATGAAGCTTGGTATAAGCCCACTCTACAAAATGCAACTTATAACGAGGATCCAAAATAATTGCAATTGCAAGAATTAAACTGTACTCTAACCAATACATCTCAAACTTCATGTTCATATTAGTTCCCATCTTGTTCATGAAACCATCATTGTCTTCCATGGTTGCCTTGATTTGGTGTTGTATTATGAACACCTTAGGAAAGAATAAATTTGATGTGGGGTACTTTGTCCCAAAAAATAAGCATGTAACATCATAAAAGTAATCCAAAAACTTGGAAATCTTCTCTACTTTAATCCACTCTCGAGGAGAAGGACAACTACTAAATTAGAATCAATCAATCCTAAATTAATAAAAGCACGACGATAGAAAAGTGCACTCTCAAGCATGGTATACGTTGAGTTCCATCTAGTCTAGACATCTTGTCTCAATCCTCTCTTACTACCCATTATCCCCACTTGTGCAACCATTCATAGAACTTTTGTTTCCTCCCCTAAGAACCCTTTATATATTTGATGCACTCACGAATCTTTATCACTGACAAATCAATTTCCTTGCATCAATGAGTACCCCACCACGTTGATTTTTTTTTT